TTTTGATCTTCTGCAGCAAGTGTTTCAGAGCCTCCTCACTTTCAGCAAGCAAGATTGTGTTATCTGCATTAACACAGGTTGTTGATGAGCCTTCCTCATCCTGATGATCCCGATGCCGCACTCTTTTTCAAATGTAATGGGTTGTCATTAAATACACTCTGACTCATTGGAGCCCTATGGACAGCACATCAAAACCTTGCCCAGTTCTGTACCATCCTCACAACCTCTACTATGCTTAAACCCATTGTTGTAGTCATTATGTCAGTCTGTCTCTTGGAGGATTTTCAACTCCTTTATTGACTCTACTTTTTCAAGCATTATGTCTTCTTTAAGGATTGATCACTCCTGACAGCATGTCTCCAAGCATGTAAGAGACATCCTTGCCTTTAAAAATTGAAGGAAGGCATTTTCTAAGCAAACAAATTATTTTGAATATTTTTTTAACGTGAAGTTAAATTACATTTCTTCATTTTAGTGAGTCCGTTTTCTAGTCTTATTTAAAGTGGAATTTATTTGCTCTGTAAAGTAATTATGTATAAGAATCTACTCCTTATAAAATACTGTGATGGTGTTTGCTGTTGGGTTAGAACTGACCCATAGCTGATCCTCCATCAGGTTTTCAGAGGCAGTGTGTCACATGGGAGGAGATTATCATCCTTCTCACATAGAGCAGCTGGTAAATTTGAACTGCTTGCTTTAGGAATTATAGTGCAGCTTATTACCACTAGTCCACCAGAGCTCCCTTAACACGTTGCCGCACACTTTTAAATTGACGACTGTGCTTAGAAACGCTTTTTTCCCCCTTCAGTGTATTACTGTCATTTGCGGCAACGTGTTACACATTGTGTTAAAATTTAAAAAAGAATGCTGGAATTATTTGAAAGCAAGATTTTGTCCTTTACTGGAAAATTGTTCAAGCTTTAATTGATTCACTGCTATATCTCACCTTGTTCCTGGAAAAGACCGAAGACGGGCAGGTTTATACAAAGTCCCTTTTTGAGAGAGTTGCTGCATTTACTGTTCACTTTCTCACCTTCCAGACACTCCTCCACCATGAACTTGTGCGTCTACCTCGCTTGTCCAGGCCTGTGTCAGTTTACCTGCTAGATCTTTGCAGCCACTGAAGCCAAATATTTCTTAAAACCTAATCTCTGCCTTCCACACTTGATAATCTGCTTAGCTACCTTTGCCATCATCCCACTTAAGTGTCTTACTCTATCCAGTTTATAGGGCTAAAAAACCGAAGCACTCATCCTTGACTTTTCTCCTTTATATTCCACTTTTAAGTAACTAAGTCTAGTTTGTTTTTTCTTACGAATCCATTTACTTGTCATCACTCCATTGATAGCTTCTGAGCTTGAACTCTCATTGCTTGGTTTCTCACCCACCTTAGTTTTCCATAAGTATCATTTACTTTTGAGTTTCTTAGGGATTTGTGTTATCTTCTTTTCAGTGCTTAATAGAAAAATTACCGCTTCTCTGACATGTTCCTACACTGTCAAGAGTTGAGCTTGATGCTTATGTTACCCCCTGCCATGCATCCATATTCATTTCCTTACTCTCTTCCTTCCCCATGGCCAACCATCTGGCCATATAATGAAAGCAGTGGCTACCGTATTTTCCCACTTGTATATCTCATGGTTGGGGCAAAGGAGAGGATTTGTTTAGCAGATGAACATAGAAGGTAAATGTTATCTGTGCAAAATATGGTAGGTCTTATTTTATAATTTTATGCACCAAAAAACATAATCATATGCCACCTAAGAATGTTTATTTAATTTCTAATGAAATAAGCATCTAGGGAAATGAACCTTTGTAAGGTGAAGGTTGCAGTCTTCAATATGGATTGAAGCCCAACATCAAGAAAACAAAGATTCTCACCACTGGGCCAGTTGGCAGCTGCATAAGAGATGGAAGAGATTGAGATTGTTAAAGCTTCAGCTTGCATGGCTTCACAATCAACACTCTTGGTACCAGCAGCCAGGAAATCAAAAGATGAATTTCACTGGAAAAATTCACTGTCAGGAACCTAGAGTACTAAAGAGCAGTAATGACAGACTAGACTCATTCCCACCACTCCACTCACAGAATCGATCCATCTCATCGAGGGTCTTCCTCTCCTGCGCCTTCCCTCCACTCTCCCAAACATGATGTCCCTCTCCAAGGACCAGTCCAGTCTTTCCTTGCAACATGCCCAAAGTATGTCAGGCAGAGCTTCAGAATCCTTGACTCCAAGGAGCATTCTGGCTTCACCCTCTCCAGAACAAACCTGTTTGTTCTCCTAGCAGTCCATGGTATATTCAACACTCGTCTCCAGCACCACAACTCAAAGGCATCAATCTTCCTTCTATCATCCCTATTCACTGTCCAGCTCTCTAATGCATTGCATGTAATTGCGAAGACCATAGCCTGGATCAGGTGCACCTTAGTCTCCAGCCTGATGTTGTTGCTCTTCATTACTCTTGAGAGATCCCTCACAGCTGTCTTTCCAATGCAATTCGTTTCCTGATTTCCTGGCTGCTGTTACCAAGAGTGTTGACTGTGGAACCAAGTTAACTGAAACTATCTCAATCTCTTCACCATCCGTACATTGGCTTCAGGACCTTGCTGTGCTTTTATGAAGAGGTTAGGCTTTCCTGAAGGTAACATTTGGGATCCATTGAATGGTTTGCTCTCTTAGATAACAGGATCTGATTTGTATCTAAAGTCAGTGTGGTAGCAGTATTATTTGCTTGTGTGACTGCATGCACAGTGTTTACAAGGGATTGTATGGAATAGAATAGTCTGTTACCTACTACAGGAAGCTTTTGAACTGAATAGTGTAGCTGAGCTAAGATGTTGCATAAGCTGGAGTAGTTGAGGGTAGGGATGGAGAAAAGGAGATATTTTGATGATTTGGATGTGGACAGCATAGAGGAGTTTCTTAATTAGGTTTCTGGCTTGGTTGACTAGGTACTCCATGCTATCATTAAGTGATTTTGTTTTAGGTTTACTTATTTATTTTCTGCAGACAAGTGAGCTTATTGACCAATCCCTGGAGTGGATGGTGGTTTAATTTTGTGAATGTAATACTCACTTAAAAAATGAAAAATTTAATATGAGTTGTACCTCAACTTAAAGTACCAAATGCTTAAGAGACCCCCCCCCCAAAAAAAAAAATGCCCTCACCTACATTCTAGCCTAGTCCCAGCAATTCTGATTCATTAGGTGCAGGGATCTTAATTTTCTAAAATGGCCTTTCTGAGATGCTGAGAAACATTGATATGTAGGCGTTAAAAGCCTGAGTTTTATTTAATTGCAAGAGAACGGGACTTTATTATAGCAAACTTTTAGAACAATTATTTCTGCTAAAGACAGTGGCAACCATGGAAACCTGTATGGAGTGTTCCCCCCTGTCTGTCTTGTGTGGGAGTAGATGTAGGGTGTGGGAAAAGCGCCACCATCTGGTGAAATCGGTTCTAGAATGAAAGTTATATTTTGTGGACTTTTACAGCAGGAACCCCTGGTGCCTTGTATCATAGCCTTTGTCTCCACGCCTGATTTTAGCTAGAACTCGGATGTCTGTAGGTTTTTCAGCCCAGATGTTGCCAGTGACCTTACTGTTTTCTACCTCTGCACCTTCAGATCCAGGAACAGGAGGGTGAATGTCTTCTAGTTGGGGGCTAGGTGGATTGACACTGTGACTGCTACAGTGGGCTCTTGGGTGTCAGGAAGTGTGAGAATGGTACAGATAGAACAGATTTCAGATATTTTGTTCATAGGGTTATTATGAATCACTCAACTTGATGGCACCTAACAACATCAACAGTTGGGGGTAGGAGTTGAAATGCCCCGTTTCTTTTGGAGGTTCTGCATGATTGCCTTTTGCCCTCAGCAGTCACTTGATCACATGTCCTTACTGATTTTTCTCCTTCCTGACAGCATCTCTTATTTAAATACTGCTCAAAACTTATATCTGTATATAAGTTAATAAATGCAAATAAAAGCCATCTGTAATTACACTAGCTGCTTCTTGGTGTCCCTGCCTATCAACAATAGCACCTAAAATAATATGAGGGGGAGGAAGGTGGAAAAGAACATGATATGCATTGCAAAACAACACACTGCTAAAATTGAAAATTAAATTTATTCACAGCCATTCTGATGTGAGGATTTATTGGATTTTTTAGAAAAGTTACTGTTTGTACAACTCAGCAATTTCTGTTTCTTTGCTATCACCTGGAGAGAAGGGTGCTCGAGGGATACAAATACCAGAAATTGACACAGAGAAACCACCCTGGATGGACTTCTTTTTATTCATTGATATTGCCATTTCATTCTTGAATTTGGAGTGGTTCTTTTTGTAAGATTAAAGAATCAAATTGAAAAGAATAGAATTCTGTTTCAGTGAAGAACTGGTTAAGATCTTTGTAGATGCCCAGGATACAAATTGCCAAAGACCAGGAAAGTCCATATATATTTTGTCTTATTTCAGGAGTATCTTTAAAAAGATACTTGGGCATTTTGGCAAGCTCTGGTGGCCTAGTGGCAAGAGGCTACACTGCAATCCCAGAGGTGTGTGGTTTGAACCCACCAGAATGTCTTCTAGAGGAGGAGGGACAATCTCCTTCTGTACCAGTTAGACCTGATTTGATGGTACGCACACAAAAATAATAAAATAAAAAACTAACTAAAAGCTATTTAGGCAATGCCTTTAGTAAGTTCAAATTTTTTAAAAGGACTATTCTATGTATAGAATGTTAACTAATATCAGTTCTGAAACTTGATCTAAACCAATTTCATTTCTGGCCTGTACCCCAAGGAAATTGGCTGTTTTTGCTTTTGTTTTTCTTTATGCATTAAAAACTAGTTGGAATAAGAAAAACTGGTAGATTTAGGACACTGATTAAATATTTACTTGCTAGAGACATTTTTGTTTAAACGGACACACCACTCCTCAAAAAGGGGCAAAAATCAATTTCTTAATCAAATCTGTGTTTCTTTTCTTTAGGACCTCTGTTATGCACCTAAAGCCATATTGGAAACTCCAGAAGAAAGATCCCCCCCTGGAAGTCAAGGAAACCCAGAAAACGCCCATGAGCCACCAAAGGGCGACAGATGATGGCACGTGCAGAGCAAGCTACATGAAACCAAGTGTCTTTTATTCCGCCTCTCTTGGCAAAGGATCATCTCCATCTCGAAAGCCTTTTGGGATCATTTCTCCAAATGTTCTGTGCAGCATGAGTGGGAAGAGCCCTGTAGAAAGCAGCTTGAATATTAAAACCAAAAAGAATGTACCCTCTGCAACAATCCAGCAGGGTGAAGAGGGGGAAGCACCGCTGGATATCTGGGCTGTTGTGAAACCAGGAAATACCAAGGAGAAAATTGCATTCTTTGCAGCCCACCAGTGTAGTAATAGGACTGGATCTATGAAAATAAAAAGTTCCTGGGATATAGATGGAAGAGCTACCAAAAGGAGGAAAAAATCAGGGGATCTTAGAAAAGCCCAAGTACAACTAGAAAGGATGAGGGAAATCAACAGCAGGTGCTACCAGCCTGAGCCTTTTGCGTGTGGCATCGAGCACTGCTCCGTGCATTATGTGAGTGACAGTGGGGACGGCATCTATGCAGGGAAGCCCCTATCAGTCATACAGATGGTTGCCTGCCTTGAGCAGCGAGCCAGTGCTCTGCTGGCCAGTTGTGCGAAAAACTGCACAAACCCCCCTGCTGTTATTAGGTGTTCTGGGCATTCCAGAGGTGTGCCCCCGGCCTTCTCTGCCTCTGGAGTCTGTGAAGAACCCACGGAGAAGGGCAGTCCTGAGGCCGGCGAGCCGCAGAGTGAGCCGGTCCGCGTGCTCGACATGGTGGCCAGGCTAGAGTCAGAGTGCCTGAAGCGGCAGAGCCAGCGGGAGCCTGGGAGCCTCTCACGGAACAACAGCTTCCGGCGCAACGTGGGGCGAATGTTGCTTGTGAATGGCACTCAGGCTAATGAAGGGAAAACGAAAAAAGGTGCCTTTGAGGCATCTGACACTCAGGTGAACCCTGCAGAGTCTGAAACTGAGGGCTGCAGCCCTTCCCGAGCTGACCAGTGTCCTCCTGAGGGGAACCAGGCCTGGGACATTGCTCCTCAGAGCAGTCCCTCATTACCAGCTGGTGTGAATTTCCTCATGGATGGTGCGCAATTAGAGCCAAGACCACAAATTGCCATGAAAAATAGCAATAGATATGATGTGGAAATGACTGAGGAACTGGTTGGCTCACCCTGTTCTCCTCGAACCTGTCCCCAAGCCACTAAATTGCCCACAGATGCTGTTGATTGTATGAATCGAGAACTTGTGCCACTTACTAGCCAGAATTCTGAACAGAGAAAAAAAGAATCTCTCTGCATTAGGATCACTGTGTCCAAGGTAGAGAAAGACCAGCCTTCTAGTTTGAACCCTTGTGCTGACCCACTTCCGGGGATGTTGTTTTTTTTGCCTTCTGGTCAACATGAGTCAGACTGTTCACAGTTAAAGGAAAGCACACGAGAGTCTGCAGAGGCCAGCCCGCGTGAAGATGCTGCTGAGGCTGACAGTACACCAGGGGACAAAAGTGTTTCAGCTGAGCCATTTGTCTTGCCGGCACCTTCTGTGGAAAACACATTACCAGTGCTCGAGGTGTCTAGTTGGAAGAAACAGGTGTCTCATGACTTTCTGGAGACCAGGTTTAAAATCCAGCAGCTTTTGGAACCTCAGCAGTACATGGTCTTTCTGCCCCACCACATCATCGTGAAAATCTTCAGGTTGCTTCCCACCAAGAGTTTAGTGGCTCTTAAATGTACCTGCTGCTATTTTAAGTCCATCATCGAGTACTACAATATCAGACCTGCAGATTCTCGCTGGGTTCGAGATCCACGCTATAGAGAGGATCCATGCAAGCAGTGCAAGAAAAAATATGTGAAGGGGGATGTTTCACTGTGCCGGTGGCACCCCAAACCCTATTGCCAGGCGTTGCCCTATGGGCCAGGATACTGGATGTGTTGCCATCACTCTCAGAAGGGCTTTCCTGGCTGTAAGCTGGGGCTTCATGACAATCACTGGGTTCCTGCCTGCTACAACTTTAACCGCACTGTCCATAAGAAAGCAAAAGGGATTGAGACTGAAGAGGAATTCTAAAGTCTGTGCAAGAGGCAGCAGAAAGACTGTTTATGTCATTGCAAGTATCCTACCCAGATACACCCACCCTTCAAATGAAGGTTGCCTCTCCCAAGTTGTCACTGAAGGAGAATCTGTTCTTACTCAACCAGGATTGCCATTCTGCCAGTGTTTTCTTAAACTCTTAGAAGCTGTAGAAGAAAGTTAGTCTCATCTCATATCTGATCCACAGTTTGAGCCATTTAGCTGTGAATAACTATGCCTATTTTCCTAAATCAAATCACCATCAAAAGACAATGACTTGTCACCATTAAGGGCATTCAGAAGAGCGTGCTGTGTACTTTTGTAGGCAGTCCCAAAAAAGAGCTTTCAGGAAGGTTCCATGCATTTGCACCGTATTTGAAATACATGAATCGTGTCCTGTGGAAAGAATAGCAGCAACTCTTGGATGAAAAGTATGCTTAAGAAGGAAAGCCAGGCCCCTTACCTTACCCTTTACCTTGTGTGCTTGATCTGTGAGATTGGTGTTTGTGGCGGGAAGTGGATTTCAGGCCCTGGGTGTTTACAGTGTATATAATTGTCGTGTATTCATAGGGCTATGAAACAACACATTAAACGTGAGCGCCTTTCCCTTTAGATGAGTGCTTTTGGCCCCTTTGTAAATAATAAATAACACCATGAAAATTCAGTTGTAGATAATGGACAGCTGACTAAATAACAGTCACCACAATGCAGCTAGGATAGTGTTGTGGCTGTATTTGTGTTTTTTTTTATGGTCTCATCTTCAACTTTGTACATCCTGTATAAAATATGAATGTTTCCCAAATAAACTATGAATGTTCCCTTTATAAAATATATGAATGTTTCTGAGAAGAAACTCTAAATAGGCAAGAGGTTAACCTATTCAAAGGATACCAAATAATGGTTTAACTGGACAACTTTAAAATTAGTATAGAGGACAATCCTTTGCTATATTTTAGTGATCCACCAAGAATGAGAGAATATTATACAGATTATATAACATTCTTGTCTAGCCTTTCTGTCTGGTTGCAGTTTGTTTTTTGGGGTGGTTTTTTTTGTTTCATTTGGTTTTTAACTTCAATAAAAACGTGCATCTTAAATGGCACCTGAGTTTTGCAAAGATTCCCCCCCCCTTTTTTTTTTTTAAATTTGAGTTAGTGAAAGAAGGGATATGAATGTCTTGATCTAGCAGTGCATGTATCTCTGTACATCTTTACGGGAGGAGACTGCCCATCTTTCTCACATAGAGTGATTGCTGGATTCCAACTGCTTATCCTTTGGTTGGCTCCTTAGGCACGACACCACCAGAGTTCTGTATTTATGAATTAATTTTTTTTCTGTCACCAAGAGGTTACTCCAGTATCTCAGGGACTCTTAACATCTCTGGTGGTATTGTCTATAGGGAGTTACACTACTAACCCAAAGGTGTCACCTCTCTGGTGGTTGAAATCCACCAGCCACTTTGTAGGAGAAAGATTGTTTGCCACCCTTCAATATTTATTTGGAGTTTGTTGTCTACCCACACCACTCAATGTTTTCTCTTGGGGGAGTTTTGATCTAAGGTGTTCTTCCAGTGTGTTTGGGCATCAAATATCTCCTCAGACCTGTGGTTCTATAATGCTTGGCAGCTGTAGGCCCTATAAACAGCTCTGGGGGACCTAAGTTCCAGGCTGTTGAGAGATGCTTTAGTGGGAAGGGCTGATGGGTGAATGATATGTAACACTGTAATAGTTCCCAGGAGAAACCCTTGGTCAGACACAGGTTGGACAAGCAGATTGTGGCTGAGCCAGATTCACCTGCAGCTCAGTCAGGTGGCCAGAGTGGCTTCCAAACTAGAATTGGCTGGACCTCTTCAGCCCTTATGCTTAGGCAATAATTGCTTCCTTGCTCAAAAGGGGCCACTAAAGCGGAAAATAGTGTCCGTTGATACTGAGTGAATTTGTCAAGTACACAGTGTCCTAGGAGTGAGGCTGAATCCTGCAGGGAGAGAATGAGAACAGCTTGCTCTCCAGTGTTTCTTCTCAGTATGTTGGAAAGTGTTTTTAAGCCCTAGCATCCCCCAAGCTCAAGTTCACATGCCTGTTCTCCTTTGGTGAGCTCTAAATTGGCAGTCTTAGTGGTACCTTCCCAATAGGTTTGCTGTGACTCATAATTTATGAAGATGAAGTGAGATAATGCACGTAAAGTACAAATGAGTGCAATCTGGCATGTCAAAAGTACCCTGTAAATGTTCGCTGTCATTTTAACTGGCTCTGAGTTCCAAATTTATGAGGTGTGAACACAGGGCAAACAACTCAGTTGGTTTTCCTGAGCCAGCCAGTCCTGATCTCGGTTTCCCAAGGACATATGGCTGTGACTGAGGGACTGAACTGACCAGAACTTGGGGCACAGTGAGCTTGCTCCAGGCCCATCACATGCACATAGGACCTCAGTGAGCTCTGTGGCAGACCTGGGTCTCTTCCTGAACCACAGGAGGACTTAGCTTCAGCGAGCAGGAGGCATCTTCTCCCTGAGCTTCGTTTCCATTCAAGTAGAGCTCCTCTTCAGGGAAAGATGCCATGCTTCGGGGCCCCCTAGTGTAAAGCCAGTGTAGCATAAGGCCCACTTTTATGCTCGACAGTGTTAAAAGTTACAGTGCTACCTTCCTTTCTGCACTGCTGTAGGTTTCTATTTCCCAGTTACTGCAAAAAGCAAACCTGTCCCCTTAAGTGCTTGCTGACGCGCTGGGCTGATTTTCTTTTCCCACTCTTAAAGCCCTCCACTTGAAACCAGAGCCAGAGCCCAGGAAGGAAGAGTCTGCTAAGCCTGGGCAGTTTGACTTTGTCCCCTGCTCAGTGGATGAGACACAAGACCCAGGAAAGGAGAAATGCACTGTGCCAGAATGTTTAGGCCTTAAAATGGCTACACCAGAGGACCCTTTGCCATGCTGTTCATTGGTCAGGAGCTGCCTTCTCTGAGAAACTCAGCCCTGTCCTGTGCCCTCTCACACCTCCATGTGACTTGGTGCTTCTGGCACTATGTGCCTGTTTATCACCACCTACAGAGTTCTCTCTGCTTTGGGTTTAGACAGACAGCTTGTCTGTGCTCTCATGATGTATGCTGTGCTTCTAGCACATGCAATGCTACAGCATATACTCCAGAAAGCCTTCCTTTCTAGTGTCCGTGTCAAGTACGAGGGGTGCGGGTGGGTTCTGAGAGCTATGGGCCATTCTGTAATTTTCCATTCATCCCGAGAAACTCAAGACCAGATAAGACTCTTCCTCTGGCTGCAAATAGCTTGGATGCTGCAAGCGCGTCTGGGGAACTCCCCTGCCAGGTCTGGGGGTTTGCTCTAATGTGGGCTTCACTGTGGTAATGAGTCACTTTGTCAGCTTGACAGTGTACAGTTTGAATCCACCAGCTACTCCGAGGGAGAAAGATAGTGTCCCGGGTGCCTCAAAAAACCCTGTGGGGGGGGAAAAAAAAAACACCAAAAAAAAACCCTGTGGAGGGTCAGCTATGGATCTGTGAGGGCACTCAACAAAGACAGGCCTCTTACTTTGTCCAGTAGCTCCTCTGGAGGCCAAGCTTTTTTGAGTGTACGGACTGCAGCCTGGAGCAGATGGTAACAACATGTGCTAGGGGCTCTGCCAGTCATTTTCTAAAACTGGACTTGTCAGGGCCTTCCTGCCAGTCTTTCCTCTCGAGCTGAGGACATTGCTTTTTATGTTTGCTTCCAGTTTTCCACACCTTTGACTTGTCTTCATCTTCACTCAGCATACTGGTTGATCATCTTTAAGCCTCACTCAGAAACATCATTGTTGTTGTTATGTGATGTCGAGTCGCTTGCAACTCATAGTGACCCTATGTACAACAGCCCTAAACTCTGCTCTGTCCTGTGCCAATCTCATTGTCTCCGATACACCCATCCCGATTACCCCAGTCACTGAATCAGTCCACTTCCTAGAGGGCCTTCCCTTCCTGCGCTGTCCCTTCACCCTACCAAGCATGATGTCCTTCTCCAAGGACCAGTCCTCCTTAAGACATGTCCAAAGTACGTTAGACGGAGCCTAGGAATCCTTGCCTCCAAGGTTTAACCCTTTCTAGGATGAATCTGTTTTCTTGGCGGTCCAATACTCTTCTTCAGCACCAAAGCTCAAAGGCATCAGTTCTCCTATCCTCCCCAATAATAATGTGATGTGTTTCTAGCTCTTATTGTATATCAAGTACCATGGCAAATTTTCACAGTGCCTGACACTCCAAATTTGATAGTTCCTGTGTGTCCCTCCTCTCTATTTCAAATAAGCTAAAGGAGCTCTGGGATCCTTTAACTGGGCTGCTAATTTTAAGGCCTGCAGTTTGATTCCACCAGCAGCTCCAAGGAAAGGGATGAGTAATCTCCTTTAAAGATAGACAGATTCAGGAACCCAGTGTAAGGATGCCAAGTCAGAATCAACACCAATAGTTTGGATTCAGATAAGCCAATTTTGCAATCTGAGTTAGCTGAAAAAGACCTGTGTGAGTAACATGCCATCCTTTTCATTGACAAGCACAGCGTCCCATTTTACGATCTTAGCTGGTGTTTGCACAATCTCATAGGAACAGCAAACATTGAGGGCATTGCAACCTTAAGCGATTTGGATGTATTTATACCTAACTGGCTTAAGCAAAGACATAGCCAGCACTTACCAGTCAAAGTGAGTGGTTTGTCCTTAAATTTTAGGGTAATAGAAGCCAGTACAGATGGAAAGACTGGGATGCTGGCAGACATGGTGGTCCTTTACACTATGGTAACCTTTCTGAGAAGAGATGTCCTCTGAAAGGCAAAACTAAACATACCTTTCCCGCCACCAAAAGAGGTTCCCTGCTCACTCTTAGTGGAGAACAGGCCTTAAACATTCATTTTAGAACTACTCATTTCTGGTTCTTTTTGTAAAGAAAATAGTCTCAAAGGTTATTAGGGTCTTCTAATTGCATTCTTTGGAATGCAATTTGGAACAGCAGAATCCATTTATAAAGTT